ATGAAAATCCGAGGTAATTGTAAATAGAAGTATTTTCTGAACATCACCTCTTATTTTCTTAGTTGCTTGAGATGATAAGTTCTTGAGGGAAGACCTGGAAAATTTGATTTTTATTTTTCAATAATTCGTTTTATATCTTGATTTGTTTGGTACAAATGAGATTATTCATAGCATGGCCACCCTACAACTGTTACGTTAACATCCATTTTTCTCAACGAGAAGGTTTCTAATTCGGAGCTGTGTAAGTTCAATTTTTTGATGAACCAGGCTTCTCAAATTCTCATCACGTTATGTAAATAAAAGCCAACTGATAATTGTTTATGCTTGCTATTTCAATGAGGGTGAGGATAAAAATGCAATTCTGGATTCAATGCTATTGTTGGGCCATTCGAGTTTGTTCTGTGGAATTATGTCATCATATTATATGATGGCAATCTTCTCTCGTATTTTATTCATGTACAGTGCTTATCAAGAGCAATTAGAAACGAGAACCCAAAGTTGCTAATGGCTGCATCTGCCTTCTTTCTGCCCATACAGCCTCTGATGGTCTCAGCTGTACATACTGGAATGATGGAGGTACCTTTCCAACTCTCTATTTCTTTAGTCAATATACCTGTATTTTGAGATTATTATTCTTTCTATTTAACAACTCGATAGCTAAAAATATTAGCATGAGTATTCTATAAATGGGAAAACTTCATGTCTTGTGTCTTCTTGGTTACTTGGTTAACACATGTGTATAGATGCCACTCCTGAGGTTTGGTCTATTCACCATCGAATAAAAATACAAACCGTTTTGTATTTGTATTGCCTCAAGGGCGAATCTGCAATTTGAAAAGTTATCACTTATCAGACTAATTATAAGGGGCTGTTTTGTAATTATGGTATTTTTTCTTGGTGATAAGGTTGCATTTGCTAAGAGAGCATTTGAAGATCCAGAGCTGAGGATGGCCCATAATGTCCATAAGATGTCATCATTATTAGGCGGAGCACTTTTTATTGCCGATGACCTTTTCCCTGAAACTCCATTTCTTCATGCTGGTTGGCACCTTGCTGCTGCTATTGGTGTAAGCACTTGCAACAAGCTCTTGTAGTAATTTTCAGACTCCAAACTCAATTTGCCGAAAATTCCTTCATTGCCTGCATATATTTCCCAATTCCTTGCTATAGGTGTGAAAATTCGAGGATATTCGGTCATGCCTTTCCATATTGTTTATGTTCTACCTATTTATTATTATAATATGTAATTTGGTAAAAGAACACTACTTAAACATTTAGCAATTTGTGTTGCCTTGGTTTTATTTTCGTGTAATTTGATTTTTGGAATGGCAAATAGTACAACACATCTTATCTTGTAATCAAATATCTTGGCAGCTATTAGAACATCATTGTACCAATTTTCAGGGGATAACATTTTGCATCCTTTGTTTCGTGGATGTTAAGTGAGGAAAAAACATTGGATTAATTCTTTCTTCCTTCAATTCTTTGGATTCAGATGATTTCAATTTTCGGGACAATGTACTGTGAATTTTACACCTTACCTTAAATTTTGAAAATACTATCCTTTTGTTTGCCCAACTTTGAACGATGTGGACCTATTGCTATTCACAATTTCACACGCCGACTTTTAGCAGATTGATGTAGTTCAGCTCCACAAATTATATTCATACGGCCGATTGTGGATTGAGTAAGTTTTTTCAGAGTTTTAAGGCGTTGCGTTCACACTAGGGACAGTACCGTAATTAATCAATTCAAGTGTGAACGCGACGTTGTAAGTTCAGTACCTCGTCCTGCTTGAATATACAGCGTTGCGTTCACACTAGAATCGGTTAATTACGGTACCTGTCAAGCAGGACGAGGTACTGAACATACAGCATTACGTTCACACTAGGGACGGTACTGTAATTAATCAATTCAGATACTGAACATACAGCGTTGTGTTCACACTTGAATTGGTTACGGTACCTGTCAAGCAGGACGAGGTACTAAACATACAACATTGCGTTCACACTAGGGACGGTACCGTAATTAATCAATTCAGGTACTGAACATACAGCGTTGCGTTCACACTTGAATTGGTTAATTACGGTACCGTCCCCAAGCAGGACGAGGTACTGAACATACAGCGTGTGAAGGTACTGAACATACAGCGTTGCGTTCACACTAGGGACGGTACCGTAATTAATGCGTTGCGTTTACACTTGAATTGATTAATTACGGTACCGTCCCTAGTGTGAACGTAGCAGGAGGAGGTACTGAACATACAGCGTGTGAAGGTACTGAACATACAGTGTTGCGTTCACACTAGGGACGGTATCGTAATTAATGCGTTGCGTTCACACTAGGGACGGGCGTGTGAAGGTACTGAACATACAGTGTTGCGTTCACACTAGGGACGGTATCGTAATTAATGCGTTGCGTTCACACTAGGGACGGTACCGTCCCTAGTGTGAACGCAACGCTGTATGTTCAGTTACCGTCCCTAGTGTGAACGCAACGCTGTATGTTCAGTACCTTGTCCTGCTTTTATAGATTCAATTAGTTTTTATTGGGTTTGATTTTTAACTATAGTTAATTTTGTAAAAAGATGGCATGTTTAGTTGTTAGTGGATATATTAAAATAATATTTAAATAAAAAAATTAAAGTTGATTTGATGTAAAATAGGAGAAAAATTATTGGAAGTGATAGTTAGTTAAAATTATGTGAATGGATAAATAGTGAATTAAAGTTTATGTGATGTGTGAGAATGATTGTTTGATATTATTTAATTATATTGATAATATTGAGGATAATAGAGTTGAGTTAAAGTTGAGTAAATTTGAGTTTTAATTGATTTTTTTTAGCTGGATTAATAAACAATCACCTCCTAATTGTTTGAAGTTTAGAGAAGATTGTTATTAAGGGACAAAGAGCGATGCACTCATTGGATTATTCTATAATTATTTATTAAATGACAATGATTCCCCAAACCCAATATCCTATGGTCATGACTCATGAGAATATGTATAAAAAAAAGAAAACATGGTCACGTTTTTATGTATTTTCATGGTATTGCAAGTGAACCTGTCATTTCATAATTTTGCTTGATTACACATGCAGCTGGCACTGGCCATCTTGTCATAAAATTAATTTCTATGTAGTGTTGCGAATAGTTTCTTAAACTGTTGCGACTGGAGAACAGAGCAGAGTATTTATTTCATGCCAGTACTGTTAGAATCTAGTTGAAATTCACCAATCAAATCATACCTTTCACCACAGTGCATAATGATAAACATATAATTCTTTTGGAATGTGACGATAACAATTTGGGATACTTTTGTTGCCATGGATATTGTGTCCTGCAGTTTATGTTTGTGAATTGCAAGAAGCCCCCTTCCAATTAAGTCTAATAACAGAAACACACGTTAACTACATATTTTGTGTTATTATTCAGTTGTACAAACTGAGAATGCATAAACATAAAAAGAAGAAATGAAAATGGTAAATAAGTAGCATTCATAAGGTAATTACTGGCTTGAAAATAATTTGGTTGCAATGTTCTGAAAGAAGGAAAATGGTAAATAAGTAGCAAATTATTCTTAAGGTAATTACTGGCACTACAAAAAATTGTTATATTGGAACGGAAATCATATGGTAATATATTCCAATGGAAATTTCACTGGTATAGCTTCCGTTGGAATGATTCCAACGAAAATATTTCGTTGGAATGTGTTTCTATTGAAATTTTAGTTCCAACGGCTTTTTACCATAGGAATTTTTGTTAAAATATGCAATTTCCGTTGGAATTTTTATTTTCATCCCCGTTGGAAAATATACTGTTGGAATCATCAAAATCCAACAGAAATTCCAATGAAAAACTCATTCCAACGAAATATTTTTGTTTGAATTTCAGTAGGAATCTATTGGAAAATTACAACGGAAATAATAACATTCAAAAATATCCATTGAAATTGCAGTTGGAATTCTATTTGAATATATTTTCGTTGGAATTTTATCATTTTCTTGTAGTGATGCTTGAAAACTATGAGCTTAAAATCGTCTTGTTTTCCAGAGACCAAATAAACATCTACGAGCTTAAAATCGTCATGTTTGTCAGGGACCAAATATAAAAATTCCTACGGTCCTAAACCTTTGAAAAAAAACTCGCACTAGTATTAGATGTGGGTTTACATATGCACAATAGGGAATTATCCCCCGAACTTTTCATTTTTTAACATACACACACATAGATACACATATAATTTACATTTATTCTCCACAATTACTGCTAATTAATTAATCTATTTACAATTTTCAACTACATTATATTTGTCTGTAAATACTCGTTTCATACTCTTGTATAATGTTTTAGTGTTTTCTTGGGAATTAAGATGTGATTAAATTGAATTTGTAGTATATCAAAACTTAAGAATAGGTTATTGCACAATTTCATGAGGTTGAATGAGAACTGCAAGAGCTATTAGTACCGAGTTAATCATGAGTTGAAATATATAGAATACAATTATTATATTACCACAATCCAAATATTATGTATTTTGTGGTGCAATTTTATTATTTATTTTAATGAATTTTATAATGAAACTAAACTTCTTATTTGTATACATAAATATGTTATATTATTAAAAATTATATACTCCCCTGGAAATATCATTTGAGTTGAGTTCACTTGAGTGCCTATCACATTTATTATTGAATTACAAATGTCAACTAGAGCTTGGTTCACCCGTTCGTTTGAATAAATCCAAAATTTAAAGTATCCTAAATCTTAATTGATTTGTTTGTGAACACGATTCATTTAATAAATAAGCTTGATCCGTTGTTCGAACTCGACTATATTTTAAGTATGTTGACAAGCTAGGCTTGTGAAATAACAAACTTATAATTTAA